GAGAGAGAGAGAGAGAGAGAGAGAGAGAGAGAGAGAGAGAGAGAGAGAGAAGCTCAGAAAAACCAACCCAATATATCTGACATTTTTTAACATCATTATTCCCTACCCACATCCCCCCCCAACTTCTGCAAAGAAATGGAGATGCATTTTCTCAACTCTTCCCCCATTATAATTACATAAGTGATCATTCAGGGCAAAGGGAAGGATGACCACTAAACCCTCTGGGAATTGTAGTTCTTCCCAGTTTGGGAAGAAAAGAAACTAATGGGAAACCAGCCCCCGAATAGGGGAGGAGGCAAAGTCTTGATAGAGAACAACTGTAGCTGAGGAAAGACACGAGAAGAATGTCTGAATGAGCACAGGAATGAGTAGCAATCAATGTGGAAGCCGGTGGCCATGATATCTGCATTTCCCTTTTTTTTTTTTTTTTTTAAGATCCTGACAGTTAATCTCTGCATGAACAAGCAAACAGGAGCCTGACTGTGTGGACGTATTAAAGGAAAACAAGACAGGAGGAAAGAGTGGTCTCTATCCTGCCCCTGCCTTATTTCTACTTTGTCATGTTTTTTAAAAAATATTGTTGGAAGACTGTATTTGCCAGATTTCTGATACTACTTTTATAAACATCTGTGATTGATTTTGTGTTTAAGTTGTCTGGTGTCCTTTGTTTGTGACTTGAGAGTGTAGGGAGAGCAATTAGAATAGCTCAGGAGAGAGGGGTCTTTCTTAGTGGAAGGTCTGGAAGCTAAAACTCATGGTTAGAGAGTTCTGCTCTCGAAATGGGGTCATAGCATGAATTAATTCACAGGAGCAAAATCACTACAAATCCAGGCTCTAATGCATAAATTTACTTTGGTTGGGTTTTTCATTCTTTACATGTACACTGTTGTAGTCATTGGGTATATCATTTCTTTGATTTTGCTTACTTCACTCTGAATCAGTTCATATGTCAACCCTTACTTCTTTTAATTCTTCGTGTTAGTTACTTATCATAGTATAGTACTGTTCCATTACATTCGTGTAACACAATTTGTTTAATCATTCCCTAATCAGTGAAAATCCACTTTGTTTCTTTGCTACAACAAAAAATGCTGCTGTGAGAATTTTGGACTCCTTAAGATAATGTGGGATTGATGAAGTAGTCTGGTTTACAAAATTGATTTTTCAAATTCTTTTCTGAAAACAAGGGAAGGTGAGTGAAAGCTCTTAAGCTTAACAGTAAATTGGGTTAGTATTTACTGAATACCATCTCCAAAATTGAATAAGTTGTTTGAATAGGCAGTTGTTTTAGGCAGACAAGGTGGACGTAACTTGGGAAAAAAATACTCTTAAAATAAAATGTAACCCAGTACCCCTGTTCATTTTCAGAGCCCATTCCTACTCTCTCCTCATGGCAGTGTGACAGCATTGCTTCAGATGAAGCCCGCCTTTCCCCACAGGCAGGGCGCCTGATTCGCCAGCTTCTAGATGAAGACAGTGATCCCATGCTGTCCCCTCGATTCTATGCTTATGGGCAGAGCCAGCAGTACCTGGATGACACGGAGGTGCCTCCTTCCCCCCCCAATTCACATTCTTTCATGAGGTATACTTTGGTTTGCTGATGATCCTATGTATCATCTCCACAACAATAGAAGGGGTGGGAGTGCAGGTTTTTCAAATGTGACTAGTAAATATTAATAAAAATAGAAAAAATGGAAGCTGTTTGCTGACATGAAGAACAAATGTGGAATTCTTCATTTCCTTGTTTAGAAAAAATGATCTCCTTTTGTTTTCCTTCTCTCTAAATGAAGTCTGTTACAAGGTCTCTGTCTCACACCGTGAGACTGACCTCCCTTCCCCCATGAGAACATAGGTTTTATTAGAGTCATAACCCTTTAGAACCAGGTTGGAATGTGGCCAATAGTAATCATCATAGTTTGATTTAAATACCTCTTTTTCCTAAGAAGGCACCCAAGCAAAAATGAGAAAATACCACCATGTCGTCTGTGAGACAGGGTAAGAAGGCATGAAAACGACAATCATCTCCATTTAATATTAGGAAATGTGATCCCTAAGGCCGCACAGTTAATAATTAATTTCATTTCTTTCAAGGGAACAGAGAAAAGTAGAACTCTGAATGTATGCCACATGGTATGCCCTATCCCTCCATTTCAGTACCCTCAAATGTAACCCTTTTTAATGTTCCTAATAGGAGAAGGAGCTCTTCTTTGGGGTCTTATGATGAGGACCAGGAAGACCTGACACCTGCACAGTTAACTCGGAGGATTCAAAGTCTGAAGAAAAAGATCAGAAGGTTTGAAGACAGGTTTGAAGAAGAAAGGAAATATAGAGTAAGAGTCTGCACATAACCTCTCCCTTCTCTCTACCTCTCCAACTCATTGTTGACAGTAGTAAGACATAGCAACAACCAAAACAATAAGATAGAACATCCTCAAATTAATGGAGATTTTAGTGGAATCCTTAATAGAAAATCAAAATGGAGCGCACAGTGTAGCATATGGTCTGGAGCAACTCTTTCAACGGCCACTTAGACCAGTCCCCAAAGGGTGGTCGCTACTTCTCTTTTCAGAGTTCTAGAGGTAGGCCTGAAGGATTGAGGATCAGTTTTCATCAGTCATAGCTAATGAGTCCTCCCTGACATACTTCCCTTCCATAATTATCAGTTGACCATTAGACTAATTAGTTTTTAGAAAGCAGTATCTACTAAGGTGGTATCGTAAGAACAGTTCATATACTTTGGGTCAATGTATGTGACCCAAAAGTCTGTGACGCATTCGTCCACCAATAAATACAGAAACAAGGGAAATTAGACACAGCTCCTGGAAGTCCTTCTGCTTAAGACCTCAATGTGTTCCCCTTGGAAATGATGTAAATTTTCTGCTTTACAGAAAGTATAGCCCTGAATCTGCCTTTCCTGATCAAATCCAGTCTGTGCTGAGCTCCTGAGAACACTGCCACTAGTTATTTTCTGTCCCACGTTATTTCTAGTACAACAATAAAAAATCCAAATCCTCTGGTCCTCCAAAGTTTGCAGTCTTCTTCCAGCCAAGGTGATATGGAGGCCAAGGTGCTCCTTGCCACTAAGAAATTCCTTCTCACAAGTTTTGCTAGAGATTTCCACCGCTAAGCTGCTACACACTCAAATCGCTGAATCCAAAATAGTTTCTTGGTTTTATATAAGCCCCACAGGGTATAACCCTGTCCCTCCTATCCTAAACAAATCCTAATAGTCTTCCTGTCGTACCCATTTGAAATGCCTTAATTAAACTTAGTTCAAACTTCTGATTGATTCATTTGATGTGTGCTGTCACTTGCCAAAGGTATCAAGGTGTTCTGTCTTATAAGTTACTTTAAGTGGAGTAGGGTGAACTTCTTGATTGATTTAATCAACTCTCATCCTTATTCTACTAGTAACCATTGTATAATGCATCAGCATTTCCTAGGAAATTTTCTCAAGAGCATCACAAATGGTATAGTGAACTAGCTTTATTAAAACCTTGTTAGTGAGAAGCCAAAAAGGGACAAAAGTGGTGAAAATATAACAGTAAAATCTGATTTGGTTAAAACAATTCAATATTGTCTTCTTTTGAGATTTATGGAGTATATTCTCAAAAAAAATACTATGAACTCTAGCTTTTTTAGCAATCACCAGGATAGATATAGGGAAGCAGCTGTTGTGACTTGGATCGGTATTTTGCCAGTCCCTTAAATAGACCAAAACACTTAGAAACATATTAAGGCTGAAAATTACTTACAGAGGGAACACAGTCATACAGAATGAGAAGCATAGCTCTAGAGAAGTAGATAAAAAGGATCATAAAATAGTTATGTTAAAGGGCAACCAGGTGAATCATAGCTCATTAAGATGCTAGAAGAGTCTCTTGTTACCTTAGATTTGGTCACGTAATAATTTCCTACACCGTGAATGTACTTTAGCTTCCTTTTCCTTTTTAAAATGCAATGGATGGAGCAAACAATTTCGTTTTCCTAAAAAGTATTTAATCTAGACTTTCTTTTTTTAGCCTTCCCATAGTGACAAAGCAGCCAATCCAGAGGTTTTGAAATGGACAAATGACCTTGCAAAATTCAGGAAGCAACTGAAAGGTAAAAGTTCAAACCATGTAGATAGCCTAGTATGAAATCGTGTTGTTCACTCAATCTTGGGGGGGACCCAAAGATATACCAGAGAGTTAGGATTCCTGAGACATATTACTGACATTTCTATCACGCATTCTTCTCCCACCATTTCCCTAAGCAATCCCAATAACAGGAAAACGTGGTCTGCCAACATGGTAAATTCCAAAGAAGGCATATCATTTACTCAAGTCCTTGTTAGGACCTTACTTCTATGTCTTGTCGTGGTTACCCTGGGTTCTCAAAGATTGTGCCAGTGGAATTAAAGCTCTAGAAGGTCCTGTCAAATTAGAAAAACTTTAAGTGATGTCTCAGTTAGGTATTAACCATTTGATGTCTAAGGATAAGCATAGTTTGGTTTGAAAGCACTCATTCCTGGGTTGGCCACAGGGGAATTTTTTTTTAGCTACAGTTACACTCAAAGACACTCTACAAAATCATAGATGACTACGTTTTATGTCAATAGAGGGAGTGCATCAACAAAATGTTAAAGTAATATTAGGATATTTAACTTAAATAGAGTGGTTGAGCTAATTAAAGCTACATCAGAGGTTCATGTCACTGCAGATCTCCAAATAATCCAAGAGATTTTATCATTATCAAGGGTTTACTTATCTGGGTTATTCAATCTAAGCTTTTCAACCTAATCTTACAATTAAATATTGCCTGAGAAAGAGAAATGGAGCCAGGACAACTGCTAACGTGAGAGAAATAGTAATTTATGTCTGTAGAAATTAGTTCTTTTTAATTCTTGTCCTTCTTTCTCTTTTTCTGCACTTGTGACATTTTTATGTCCTAATACATGGTCTATTTTTGTGAAGGTACTGAGCACAGCTGACATTAGGCATACTTCATTCTATTCCCATTCAGTATTCTCCAGAGGTCTACTCTATCTAATTTTTCTAAAATTCTATGAGGTCCTCCCTTTATTTTTAATTTATTTCTGATTAGATTTATCTGAATGAAGTAAATTGAGGTCCCCCACTATTAAGGTTTTACTGTCTAGTTCTCAGTTGTAGGTAACCCATTTAAATTTTCCTTTAAGAATTTAGGTGCTCTGCCATTTAATACATATATGTTTAGTGTCGATACTAATTCATTGACTATAATACCTTTCAATAAAATGTAAATTCCTTATTTATCTCTTTTAATTTGGTCTCTTTTTTGTTCTTTTGTTCTGAGAATCATAACTAATACCCTTCATTTGACATATAATAGATTCTGCTCCTGCCCTTCATTAAAATTCTGCATCCATCTTTCTGTTTCAAGTGTGTTTCTTATAAATAAATATTATTCAATTCTGGTTCATAATTCATTCTGCTATTCTCTTCTGTTTCATCCCGTTCACATTCACAGTTATGATTGTTAATTGTATATTTTCCTCTGTCTTACTCTCTTATATTTTTCCTTCTTTCTGTTTCCTGCCCCCTTTAAAAGTTTATTTTGCTTCTGACTACTCCCTCCTTTAATCTACCCTTGTTCTTATGTTCCCCTTTCCCTTAACCCCTTTCCTTATTGTTTTTCTGTTTGGTGAAATATATTTCTGTACTCGGCTCTGTGTGTGTATGTGTACGTGGGTGTGTTTGTGTACTCTTCCCTCCTTTAGCGAGTTCGGACCAGTGAAGTTCACGTATCTCCTGCTCCTCACACACACACTCCCTGCCCTTTGCTGTGCAGTCTCTACTTCCGTGCCGAAATTATGTGAGATAATTTCCCCCCATTCTTTGTCTCACTTCCCCCCTCTCAGTGCATTCCTCTTTTCCATTCTTCTTTTCAGATCATCAAAACATGACACAACCACTCCCAGGCCTTCCGTCTAGTTAGACTGCATCTGTGATCACTGATGATGGCAGAGTTCTGAAAGGATACATGTGTTATCTCCCCATGTAAAATTTTAAACAACTTGTCTTTGTTTAATCCTTTATGATTGCTCAGTCATGTTTAGCTTTTTATTCTTTTCTTGACCCCTGGGTTTGCACTTCAGATTTTTTATGCAGTTCTGTTCTTTTCATCGAGGAAGCTTAGAAGTCTTTTTATTAAAGATCCATTTTTTTTCACCTCTAGGATTGTATTCAGTTTTTTTCTGGGTAAATTATTCTTGCCTGCAAGCCTAGATCTTTTGCCTTCTGGAGTATCACATTCTAAGCTCTTTGCTGCTTTATTGGTGGTGGCAGCTAAATCATGTGTGGTCATGATGGTGACTTCTTGGGTATTTGAATTCTTTTTACCTGGCAGCTGGCAGAATTTTTTCTTTCGCTTGGGAGTTCTGGATTTCGGATATGATGTTCCCGAGAGTTTTCATTTTGGAAGTTCCTTTATGGGATCACCATTGGATTCTTTCTATTTGTCCTCTGGTTCTAAGAGATGTGTGGAGTTTTCTTTTATGGTTTCTTGAAATATGATTTCTGGTCTGTCTTTTTTGATCATGGCTTTCAGGTAGTCTGATGATTCTTAATTATCTGCCTTCAATTTGTTTTCCAGAACAGTTATTTCTGTGATGAGATACAATACATTTTCTTCTATTTTTCTAGTCTTTTGATTTTCTTTTGATATTTCTTGATGTCTCATGGAGTTTCTATTTGGTCCATTCTAATTTTCACAGAGTTATTTTCTTGGGTAGGATTTTGTCCCTTTTGTTCCAAGCTATTTTTTGAAATAAACACTTATAAATTGCCTACTGTGTACCAAGCTTTATACTAAGCCCTCAGGATGCAAAAAGAGGCAAATGACAGTCCTTGCCCTCGAGGAGCTTACAATCTAACGGGAGAGACAATGTGCAAACAAATTCTCTTTATTTTTTTCTATAGCTTTTATTTTTTCCCATTTTTTTCTTCTACCACTCTCATTTAGTTTTAAATTAATTTTTAGCTTTTTGAAAAAATCTTGCTTTATCTCTTCAGAAATCCCCATTGAACTTGTGCCCAAACTATGTTTTTGAGACTTTGCTTGGAAATATTTTGGAATTGTTCTCTTCTGAATTTGTCAAGTTTCCCTGTCACCATAACAGCTCTTTATGATGGAATTTTTTTTTGTTTTTTTGCTCATTCTTATAGCCTAATTTTTTGCTTTGGACTCTTTTCTTAGGGCAGGGCTCTGCAAATTGCTGAGAGGAATGTCTGGGCTGAACTTTTGCCCTCTTCAGTCCTTCTGCTGCTTTCTTGGGATATTGAGAATTGCATTATTCCAAGATCTCGGGGACAGTTCAAACTGGGGATTTGAAAAGTTTTAGCGCTTCCAAAGTGATGTGGCCTAGGGCAAAGTCTTCTCACGAGCCTCCTGGTCAAAGCTTTGCAAGTTCTTAACCCAGCTTTGGGTCTCAGCAAGACAACTATCGGTTTGTCCCCTAGTTGGAGGTTCTGATAGGTCGCTGCTGGATTCGGCTTTGTCAGCCTTCTCTGAAGCCCTACAGGTTCAAAGCACTAGAACTGCAGATTCCCCTTTGGCCTGGTGTTACTGCCTTGGATATTTCACTGGAGAAATCAGACAAGGCTGGACGTTGGAACTCAGTCTTTGCTTTGCTCCTGGGGTCAGAATCACAAAGCTACTGTTTGCTTAACTTCTTCCTTGTTCAGTACATAGCTAGGGCCCGTGACCATTCTGCCACCCCTAGGTACTGTTCCCTCCTCAGTCTACCATGGGTCTGCTTCCCAGAAATGGGTAGTAAGTTGCAGAACTGCAAGATGGCACCCATTCTTACAATTTGCATTAGTTCAAGGACCTCTGTAACCTCTTCTACAGCTTGGGCCACCTTCGATCCCTGGGTGCTAGGATGCTGTGCATTCCTGGCCTGATGCCATCTCCAGTGTCTGCAAACCTCTCTTTCTCCTTGTGCTGACCTGCGTTGGAAAAAAATGACTTGCTGTGATATTTTTCTTGGATTTCCCAATCAGGATTATTTCCGGTTTATAGATGACGTATGTCATGATTTTTCTAGAGGTCTAGGGAAAAGGTATGGTGGGGAGCTGGGCTGTACTTCTTTCTGTTACTTCGCCATCTTGACCCTGCCTCTCATTGTTTGTGGTCACTAGAGTCAAAGCTAAAGATATCTGAAGAAGAACTAGTTCCCCAGATGCGTCAACGAAGCAACACGCTCCCCAAGAGTTTTGGCTCTCAGTTGGAAAAGGATGATAAGAAGCGAGAGATGGCGGATAAAGCAATAAAGCCTACTATAGAAGCTACCCTGGAATCTATTCAGAAGAAGCTACAAGAGAAGCGGGCAGAGACCAACCATCCTGAGGACATCAAGGTATGGCAGCGAGGGGGAAAATTTTTATTTTATTTTATTCAAAAAATGTGCATTGAGTCCCTACTATGTAGCCTTACCAGTGCTATATAGTGCCCCATGAAGCAGAGCCTTAAATACTGGGACCTTAAAAATATAGTAGATATAATAGAAATGGTGGTCAGTAGAGAATGATGATTCATATATTCATCTTCTATACAAGCTATTATGTAACCTAATCATCCCCTGTGAGACTGTGGGTCCCTTGAGAGCATGACTTTCTTTTGTCTTTCTTTGTATCTCTAGCACTTAACGCAGACCTGACACTTTAATAAATGCTTCTTAACTTGACTAATATCATCACTTTAGCTGATTTTAATGATTGTTATAGAAAAAGCAAAATCAACAACTTGTGTTCTAGATTTTGTGCAGAGAAGTTCATTGGGTTAAGTTAAGCAGCATGATATGATGGAAAGACCTCTGGTTCTGAAGTCGAGGGCTTGGGTTTGAATCCTACCTCTGATACTACCTGGCTGAATTTGGGCAAGTCACTTAACTTCCCTGAACCTCATACTCCTCATGTGTAAAATGAGAAGGCTGGACTGGATCGTCCCCTTCAAGTCTAGATCAATCATCCTATGTTTCTATTTGTGTTACAACTTAACTGGTGATTCCCTGTGATGAAATAAGCTCAATCAAAACTCTTAAACCTAAGCAGAATCATTCCTATTAGAAATGGAACATCACCCTAAGACATCTTGGCTGTTACAGGTACCTGACTCTTCACTGCAATGTGGAGATACTTTCAGTGGTCAGTTTGCTGTTGGGTCATTTCAGTCATGTACTTCTCTTCGTGGCCCCATTCTTCTGGCTTCCAAGCCCAGTGCTCTATCCACTGCACCACCAAACTGTCCTCAGAGCTCGATAGCTGTTCATTATTGATGGTGATACTGTAATGTTATCATATCCTGACAGTATCTTGTTCACGAGGCCACTAGTAACCAATTTCAGAATAAGCTGTGAGATAAGGGAACCGATGGAATACTAAGTATTTAGGTTTTTATTTGGAGAAATCATTTACATAGAGACTCTGAAATATTAATAAATATTAATTATTTTTTCTTTCCCTTCTCCACCATATAGGACATGACTAGAGACCAAATTGCTATTGAAAAAGTGGCTCTGCAGAAATCTTTGCTGTATTATGAGAGTATCCATGGAAGACCGGTATGTAAGCTGCTCTGTCTTTTCAGCTTGGGAGAAAAATCAGTTTTCAAGGAAAATTTAGTAATATGAAGATTCTCTCTGCCTTAATGAAAATCAGATAGCAGTGAGGTTGACTGGGGAGCTCTGGACCGGCAGTCTGTGTCTGGCTTGGTCAACTCAACTCTCTCATCTTCTTTATTATCGTTTGTAAAATAAAGGGATTAGGCTAGATGATTTCTGTGGTCCCTTCTAATGAGAAGATCGAGGTAATGAAGCTTCAAGGTGGTACGGCAGCTGTAATTGCCTTTTTGAGATAATGATCCATTCTTCACACCACTATTGGATTGAGCTTTCTTATGTGTGATCATGTTGTTCTCTACTCAGAACCCTTCCTGATTCCCTCTTGCCTGCTGAATAAAATACAGATTGTTGGCATTCGAGATTTTCTGTAATGTGACATTATTCTTTCTACCTTTCCTGTCTCCTACTACCACCACCTCCTCTATCCCATCCCCATGTGCTTCCTGAAGCTACCTTAGGCTGAATTTGGAGAACTCAAATGGCCTATATACATCTCTTACTTTCTTTCTTCCGGGCCTTTGCCCAGATTGTTCCATAGGCCTAGATGCCCTGTCCATCCTACTACCTGTTGAAATCCTACCTGTCCTTTAAATCCCAGCTCAAGTGCTGTATCCTCCACAAAGACTTCCCTGATCCTTCTAGGTGGTAATGGCCTTTCCCCAACTTGAGCCTTTTATTCTTGGAAGCACTGAGACATCATTATTTTTTATTACAGTTACTCTGTATGAATCATATTCTCCTACTAGGTTATTATCAGGTGTGTCAGGGCAAGAGCCAGGCCTTATCAACATGCTCTCTTCCCCATTGCCAAACATATTGTCCTGTCTATAGTGTGAACTTAAAAATGCTTAACTGAAGTTCAATTCATGAAAACGTAAGCAGGGATTTCATTTTTTCTTTTTTATAATAGGAAACCCTTTTTTTTTTCACCAAGGCAACAAGTTTGACTTGTTTCATTAATTGTCAGCTTTGTGCCCAGCGCTTCCCTGGATACTCTGAGGCATACAGAAAAATGCTTTTCCTTCTTTGTAATCTATCTATGTAATCATAGTTTCTCTCTTCCCAATCTCAGGCTCCTATAATCCATAGTGCGGTCAAGTGAACAATCTAGAATCCCTAAGGCTAACTTTATCATAGGACGATGAGTTGTATAATGGAGTTGTCATGTAACCAGAAGGAGATCTTTTTTTCCAGGTCTTGTTTCAAACATAGAATTTATTATAAATATTCTTTTTAAAATATGAGTTCAATTGAGATAACTTGGGTAGGGAATGGATAAAGGGCAGAATATGAATCAGGGTTTGAGAATATTAAATGGTTTTAAGAGAAAGAAACTTCTGGTTTCAACTCTTTGACGGTAGATAGTCCTGCATTTAAATAATAGTTCATCTTTTCCTCTGGAATTAATTTTATTGAAAGACAGCATGGTGGAATGAATAGGAAGTTGGCCTTCAGAGTCAGGAAGACCTGAGTTCTAGCCCTGCCTCTGGTACATACTGATTCTTTGACCTTAGAGAAGTCACTTAACCTCCTCGATACCCCAGGTGACTCTTTAAGACTGTAAGTTACATATTTAAAAGGAATATCAGACTGTACATAATAGATTTGCAGTTTCATGTACAATCATCTTTTATTCCTATCCTACTATATTTATGGAAATGCTTGTTTTATTTCTTAAGTTCAGAATAAAATAAATTTTTGAAAATAAAGGCTAAACTGCTCTTAAAAAGAAGACTGTAAGCTATAGAACATTCACAGGTCTTCATTGGCAGGAAGGAGTTTCTTCTAAGGGAATTAAATTAAATATTTGAACCAGAAAAAAATTAAAATGTTTTAACAGGTAATGACATTTTTAGGGTGAACTCTGCCTTCTGAGGGACTTCAGAATTCAGAACTCTAGAGTGGCAAATGAAATTGCTTCATATTGATATGTTTATTTTTCCTCTAGACTCTGCTCTTAGTCTTTTTAGCCCTTCCACCCAACTCCTTGCTCGGTTTTCTTGTTGTTTGCTTATCAGTATGCTTAATTCATATTTAATAAATATCTCCAAATGAATAAACAAGCATTTATTAAGTGCTTACTGTATTCTAGGCACTATGCTAAGTGATGGGGGTACAAATACCACAAGCAAGACAGTCCCAGCCCTTAAGGAGATTTTATTCTACTTGAGAAAGACCAAACATACGGAAGAATGGTGGCAAGAAAGGAGAAGACAAAGAGAATGGTGACTAGAGTCCAAGAGAGAGGGCAATAGAAATGTTGGTTTGATTACTGTTCTCAGGAATAGAGTTGGAAGAGATTGGCTGCTATTAGCATGGTGGGCCTGAGGCCACTCAAAGAAGGTAAAAGCTCACCAGTCAGAACCAGTGATCACGCAAGTGACAGACTCAACTCCACTCCTGCCTACGTGTGTGAAATGGGGATAATAACCACTTAACTCACAAGGTTTTCTTGAGGATTAAATGAGATAATATAGAAATCACTTTGCAAACCTTAAAGCATGACATAAAAGCTATTATTATTATTATTACATCAGCCTTGCTTATAAAAAGTTCAGTACTAGTGTTAAATCTACTATTCACATATATGCCCAGATTGAGATGGAGCCTAGTCATCTACCCTACTCATCCCTCTTGGCCACCAGGAACCTTTATTATATACTTTTCATCACATAAGTTAGATTGCCCAAAGTCACTTCTATGCCATGATGATTCATTGTAGGACAACACTAGTGGATCATTTCTACTTTGCTTCAGAAAATCCCTAGCATTGGAAATACTGATTTCCATTTCACTTTCTAATCCACACTTGATGATATGGGCTATCTCGTCAGTGTTATGGCAAAAGGCAGACGCAGATTAATAAATAGGTAACTTTCATTTCCAGTTCTAAGACTAATTGAGGGTTTTTATTATTTAAAACAAAAAGGCAACCAGCACAAGTGTAAATGTTTAGCAAGTCCATGTAACAAGTAAGGTTTGTTATGTACCATCGTTAAGTACCATTATGGGGTACTCATCAATTTCATAGTATGGAAGATTTGTCTTCTTATAAGCAAAAAAAAAATCAGTACTTTATTTCCTTTATAAACATAAATTTTAAATTAATTCCTTAAGGATCAGGCAGCTAGGTGGTGTAGTGGATAGAGTGCCAGGCCTGGAGTCAGGAAGACTCATGTTCCTGAGTTTAAATGTGGCCTCAGACATTTATTGTGTGACCCTGGGCAAGTCACTTAACCCTGTTTGCCTCAATTTCCTCATCTATAAAAAATGAGCTGGAGAAGAAAATGGCAAACCACTCCAGTATCTTTGCCAAGAAAACCCTCAATGGGGTCACAGAGTCAGACAGGACTGAACAAAAACAACAAAATCCTTTAGAGAATAAGTATTGTTTCAGGGTTTAGGGAGAATGTAGTACTTTTGGTAAAGATAAATCAATCACAAAAGATAAACAGCTTTCAAATCCAGCCTTTGTGATGTTTCTTCTGTTAATAAATAGTGGGTAATTGATTAGGATGTCCTTTCCAAACTTTGTAATGTTTATCTAATGGGGAAACTGAAGGAAAATAAGGTAGGAATAGAAAACCAACAAAAGATTTAGGCTGGTAGAATGGCAATGCCAAGTTTTCATTTCTGTATTTCATTGATTCTGAAGCAAAAGTGTGTTCTAACTTGCTTCCTAGCCTGAAAAATCAAGCAGTACCAGTGCTTCAACTCCACAAACATTGAATGGCTAGAGGACTGACTTCAGAGCCAGCAAAACCTGGGTCCAAGTCCCATCTCCAAAACATATTGGCAGTGTGACTTTGAGCAAGTCAACTTAACCTCTCCACGTGTTCGGCAACTCTCTCAGACTGTAAATTGGTGAGAAGGTGCCAGCCTCCAGTGTTAGAGAAAGTTTCTTCACCTAGGATTTCCCAATACTAATGAAATCACAGGTCTGGTCCCCATCTGTAACTTTACTATATGCCAGGCACTATGCATTAAGAGACAGCCAAGGAGCTTACGTACTACTACTGAAATAAGCAGTGTATACTCATTTGGTATGTAGAGTCATTTTGAGGAGAGAGAGCATTAAATACAGATGAGAACCTTGTGTCCATGGGGGTGTTTGAGCTGATCTTTGAACAGAGCTGTGGGTTCCCAGAAATGAATGTGAGGAGAGGGTCTGGAGGAATAGAGGTGACCCAAAGGCAGCAGCTGGAGTGGAATGTGAGGGGAGGATCGAGGAGGTCACAGTGACCGGAAGAACCAGTATGGGAGGAGGAGTAAGATAAGAGCAAGTGGAAGAATCAGCTGGATCCAGATTGTGAAGGGCTTTTAAGACTAAAGTCAAACATCTGAATTGCTATTTTAAGCTAGTAACTTTCAGGATCATCAAACTTCTCCACAGTTCAGTTAGATGCGAACTTTGAAGTCAGATCATTACTAGGGAAATAACCCTGAGGTTAATCTGGGGGCGGAAACCAAAACTCATCCACCACAACTACTCCCAAGCCCAAATAAGTATCTCAATGGCACATCTCATTGTGATTTGGACGTATTGGTGATCGACCTACACATGCTAATTAGGAAAGAACATTTTGGCACAAGAGAACCAAGCAATTACAGTCGTCCATTATAATGGAAGAGGAGACATGAATAATAGAAAATGGCAGAAATTTTAAAGCCATAAATGTGTCTTTGAATTGTACTCTGAGAAATACATTCAGTCTGTGATGCAATCTCTCATACTTACTTAAAAACTGGGACACATTCTAATTCCTTTCCACTTCAATCCCCTGGATGCATTTTTCGGTCTGTTGCTTACACACGGTGTTTTCTCTCCATGCCTTCCAACAGGCTGCCTGTCCCCCATACATATCATCCTCTCCCTCTTCACTTTTACCTCATAAAATCCCTAGCTTCCTCCAAAGTTCAACCCAATGCCATTTCCTGGATTCTCCTGCTACCTGAAATATCTTTTATTAAGGAAACTAGGAATAGGAACTAGACCTTAAGTGTCTTTCTCAATAGAATGTAAACCTCTTGAAGTCAGAGACTGTTTTGTTTTTGCTTTGTGCCCAGAGAGGCAGCATAGAGTAATAAATAGAGGGATGGTCTCAGAGTCAGGAAGACCTGGGGTCAAGCCCCACCTCTGGCACAAACTATACTTATATACATGCTGATCTGCATTGGTTGAAGAGAGTTCCCTCACCTGGGAGTTCCCTAAACCAATGAAATTATAGATCCAGTCCCTAGACCTTATCCCTAGTGATTGGCACATAGTAGGCGCTCAATAAATGCTTATCGGATTGATTGATATTGACTAGTTCCTTGCTTAGCCACAGTCTCCTTCAAGTTTTTTACATTATTCCATGGCCTCCAACTGGACTGGTCAGCAGTGAAGGGTCTAATGTATTCTACTTAGGAACATTTAAGACGTGTCTATAAATTCAAGGTTGGAAAGTCTCATGTGGCAGGTTGCTACAGATAGGAATCTTTACCCTTTCCCACAGCCTTCTTGCTGAATAAAATAAAAAAATGACATGTACAGACAAACCCAGCCAGGAATGCTAAGTCTGTTTTTTCTGTTGGGATCTACAAGGTTAGTTGAGTAATTAAGGGTCACGTGTAGTTTATACATGAGTGTCACATGTGGCTTCATTACCTAAGCTTGAAAATGGTGCTATTAAAAGCCTGATATGATTTACTAATATTATCTTAAATGTTTGTTGATAAAACTTATTGACAAAATGGTATTATTTACATAAATAGTTATTAGCAAGAAGATTTATGGCTTGGATTGAATAATTTTCCTTCTTACCTGTGATTCTTTAACCCTACAGCTCTGCTTACTAAGATAGTTGGCATCACAAATCTGGGAGAAAAGTGAGCTAATTGTCTTATTTTTCAGGTAACAAAGCATGAGCGTCAGGTTATGAAGCCATTATATGACAGATATCGGCTGGTCAAACAGATCCTGTCACGGGCCAACACCATTCCCAGCATTGTAAGTAAAAGACCTTCCTAGCTTTCAGTATACAGGTGACTTTCCAGATCCTCATTACTATCTTTTAACAGCCTAAGAAATTTCTTTTTTTTTATTTTTATTTTCAATTCTGGGAATAAAACAAGCATTTCCATAACACAGTACAATTAAAAAAGATGATTGTGCATGAAACTGCAAATCTACCATATATACACCTTGCTATTCCCTCCAAATATATAATAAAAATTCTCATGTAAATTTGTTTTTTCCCTGTTTTTATTCCCTCCCCACCCCCCACAATGGCTGCCACTAGACACAAATAGGTGTATATATATGTGTGTGTGTATGTATGTATGTATATATACACACATATATATGCATATATACACATATATACATACTAACACAGACACATAAGTGTATGTATGTTATACACATGTAAAATTATTCCATACATACTTGTATTTATCAATTCTTTCTCTGGATGAAAATAGCATCTTCATATGTCAGCCTAAGAAATTTCTAGCCAGCTAATTGGAAAAATGAAGAATTCATTACATTACATTACATTCATTACATTACATTTGCCATAAATGGGCAAAATTGATCAAGTAAAGCTTGTCAGATTCCCCCCTTTAAAATATCCAATTTTTAATTGTCACCTTTAGTTATTCAGTTTTGTCTTCCAGATTATGATCTTTCCTGCACCTTTAGGTAATGTATTTTGCCCACACGTGTAATTCTATTGACATCCCTGAAATCCACACTCTAAATTTTATATCTATGCAGACTTGTGCAGGAACATTAGTGGCGCTCAATGCTCCCTCATAAGCAAAGTCAAAGCTAAGCCAGTAGCAACCCCAGGCCTCCCCTTTCCTATGAAGGGAGTTTGTAATCCTATCACAGCCTCTATGAAACTCTTACCCAAGAAAAGAATTTGTCCTTCTTGGGATTCTGGTTTCAGGGACACAAACTCCTACTTGTAGCGAGAGAGGTGGTATTCTTAGAGGGTTGAAAGGGAGTGTGGAGAGGAAAGGGAAGACAGTAATTTTAGAAGGACTGTGAAATGATCCTATTGTCCACAACACTTGTCTATTTTTGGTATGGTCTCCAGTCCTTTGACCTGTGTATTCCAGTTGCTTTATGTTAAAGAGTCCCCTACAATGGTGGGGAATGGCTTCAATATGTTGGCCAGTTTCCACCTTTTGATGGTAAAGTTTTGTTTGGAAGGTAGTATCTTGTTCTGCACACACAAGTGGTGCCTTGGTCTTGAGAAAAAGGGCATACGTACGTACATACATACATACATACATACATACATACATACACAGATACACCATCTCTGATATCTCCTTCCTTGTTGGCCAGGGAATTCCTGATGCCAGCCCTGTTTCAATGCTATCGTTGTCAAACACCTTTAGGTTTACTAATACATTCATGACAGGCCTTGAAAACATCTCTCAATGAGGCATCCTGTCACTTTATGTTGTGATTGAAATCCACATACAGTGTTAGGTTGAATTTGTTTTTTTCTGACCCTGAAACTCCTTTGCTATTCTTGTGATTACATTCCTCCCTTGGGACTTCTTTGAATAGAGTAGCTGTTCATTACAACAGAATAGTTGGGGAAGCATCAGATCTAACCATCCACCTTAGATACATTTCAGCAGGACCCTTTCCTAGCTAGATATTGTAAAATTAAATTAAATGAACAAATAAATAAGTGGGTTAAACTCCATGATTCTTATTTTCCTCTGAAGAGAAGCCAATACATAAACTAGTGGCTGAAATAAAAGAAAGGAGAGGGATGGGGGAGAGAGGAGGAAGAGAAAGTGATTCACGATATAACATACTTGTTAATGTTTGCCACAGGGTTCCCCTTCCAACAAAAGGAGAAGTCCTTTGCTACAACCAATTATCGAGGGTGAAACAGCTTCCTTCTTCAAGGATATAAAGGTGAAAATATCAGACTACTAATAGCTAGTCCTGACAAGTCCCTCCCCCTCACATTAATGAAAACTATATTGATATTTGATCTCCAGTATTACTTCTTTGTAATGTCTCCAGAAGATCATTAATTGCACGAACATAGTCAACTTTGAACAATTTTTTTTCCTTTTTATCATAGATTAGCTTATTTCCTTTGCTTCATTTCCATTAAAAAAAAAAAAAACTTTTCCAGAAAGAGCTTTTGTTATAGCTTGGTGTTTAATTTCATAGTAAAAACAAGCTTCTGGAATGAATTTTCTTCTTTCCAAATCTCTCCAACTTCTACATAGTGATAATTCAGTTAGCAGCTGAAATCACACTTTTCTACCTGTGCTGGGATTTTTCTCCTGCTCTATATCTTCCTAAGTAGATTTCTAGAAAAAGCACTATTTTTGCAATATAGATATTTGCAATATAAATTTTTGCAGTATAAATATTTGCAATATTTTTCATATATGAAGATGGTACTTCTGACCTACCCTCAGTACCACATGTGATTTGTGTTCTTTATCTAGTTGCAGTGATAGAGCTACAAGAAACTGTCTACTTTCTGTGGCCAGTCCCCTCTGCATCCATTTGCAAGACCGCGTACAGGCGTTTGGTCTAGGTCAGGGGTGGGGAACCTTCGGCCACGTGTAGCCCTCTAGGTCCTCAAATGTGGCCCTTTAACTGAATCCAAACTTCACAGAACAAATCCCCTTAATAAAAGGAGTTGTTCTGTAAAATTTGGATTCAGTCAAAAGGCCATACCTAAGGACTTAGAAGGCCACGTGTGGCCTCAAGGCCAAGTTCCTCTCCCCTGGTCTAGGTTTATCAAAGTTTTTTTTTTTGTTTTTTGTTTTTTTTTGGTTACTTATAACTGACCCACAAAGAGATTAGCTCCATTTACCTTGACTTTGTTGATATCACATTCCAAAATGAAACTCAAATTTATCACTCTTGATCTTTGCTAGAAACTCTTAAAACTGGCATGTGACTGATCAAGACACTAGTGAGGTTTCAGATTCTCAGATATTTTCATTTATCGTTTGCAATGATAATCTGAAGTGGGACGTAGTTGTATTTTAACTCTGATTGAGTTGTTTGTTGGCTAATTCAAATACCATTTTTTTTCCTATGAATTTGGACTCTTGTGTATGAAAATTAGAGCATGATTCTGGTATATGCATGAGATAGAGCTGTTACTACATAAGAAAACTTGCTGTTGGTAACATTCAGAATTTCATAGTACTTGCCCTACCACATGAACTGTGGACGTACTTCCAATTTGTCTTTAGAAAGAACCCTTTAAAAAGTCTTACCCTATAGCTGAAATCATCTTCTTACCCTCTTCCGGTTTGTGTCATATAAGGGAATTCATTCCATTTCTAGACATTTCTAATTGTGTGTGTGCATTTACATGTCTATTTATATTTATATTTATATTTATATGTTTCTCTTATATATGCCTCTCAATACCTTCTGCCCATTGGTCCTAGTTTTGCCTTCCACAGCATTACAAAGTCCAATCTTTCTTCCACGTAACGGCCTTCGAATATGGGGAAAAAGCTATTTTGTTTGCTCCCAAGTCTCTCTAGGCCAAACAACTCTCATTCCATTAACCATTCTTTATATGATGCAGTTCAAAACCATTTCGTTATCTTAATTGCTGCCCTCTGAACATGCAATTTGTTTTAAAGCATGACATTTTTGATAAGTGCAGAGGACAGTGAGTCTGCTGCCTTCCTTGATGTGGATATTATATTTACGTTAATATTGCCTTGAATCACGTTAAATGTTTTATCAGCCAAGATTCATAGGTCCATAGGTTTGAGAAGCATGCTTTCTTCTAAATCAAGTGTCAGACTTATGGGCCCGGTGTATCTGGAACCAGATTAAAATGTAATTGGGAAATGTTTGACAAAATAAACAAAAATACAATTTAACATAGATAATGTTAATTAGTAGTTGTCTAAGTCAATACGCAGCCAGCAAGGATCTATTCCTGTTTCAGTTGACACCCCTGATCTAAACTATTGGCAAAAATGTTGGATAAGACAGAACTTACCAAGAAAAAGGCATATAATACTAGTGTAGGGGGTGGTATTATTCTGTTAGTCATACAGCCAACTGTGAATCCACCATAGTGGATCTAGTCCACACTTTTCTGTCTTATCAAAATAATTGATGTTTATGTAGTACTTTGAAGTTTGCAAAGTGCTTTATAATCATTAACTTATTTGAATCTCACAACACAATTAAATAGTATCTCCATTTTATAAATGAGTAAACTGAGGTTCAGAGAGGTTAAATGATTTGCCTGTGATCACACAGCTACTATCAGAACTCAGGTCTTATTGACTTGGAAACTAGCACTCTCTCACAAGGATATCTCGAGGAGGTTTGCCAAATGTCTTGATAAAATGCATATTCTCCTGGTATGTCTGTCTATGAATTGTATCAAAAAAAAGGCAAGTAAAATTCGATTGGTATAACTTGCTGTTAAAATGCCCAGAGTGGCACCACTCTGTTGAGTACAGAATGATAAAAATGGTCCTAGACATTTAACAATCAGTTCCTGAATTCTGTTTATGGTTTCCAGTACCTACCTTTTGGAAAATTAGGATGCTTCTTGTCTTCTGCTGATTTCTGTTTGTTTGTTAATCACAGTGCTTAGTCATCATGACAAGTTCTTTTAATACTTTGGGGAGTAAATATGCCCCAATCTGAAGACTTGATCTCATTTGTACAAGGCTAAGTGGTACTGTATTACTATGTCTTCTTCTCTTTCTTGAGTTTCTCTTTGCCCTTTAAAAACATTCTTCAGACTGGAAAGGGTCAGTAATGCTCGACAGAGAAGCTTTTATGAGCCCTGCTTTCTCTTTCTTACCTGTTGATATTATACAATATGCCTCGTATGGTGAGAGGTCTGTCCCCTTTCACCTCGTCATTCTTCTTCCAGTTTTAAGAGGCCGTTTTTGTCTTCCTTCTTTAGCAATTGTTTGCTATTTTCACTCTCTTGGCACAATTTCAATATCTGTCATCCTTGGTGAAAGACCTTGCTTCTGAGGTCCCTCTTTTTACAAATTTTTTTTATAAATGTGGGTTCATCAGAGATTTACCCCTGTCATTTTTTAATTTCTTCAAATCCTTCCTCTTTTTTCCTCAATGATTGTATCATCAGAATTGTATGACCTCTCGAATCATATCTTTCTTCTCTGCCCATGGGGATCATATCTATTTTTATTATAACTAGTTAAAATCTGCTTATCTTAAACTCTAAGATATATGTATGACTATGCTCAGTGTTCTCCTGCTTGACTATTATGAAATCTCACGAAATGTCATCACTCTCTGTCAACATTCCTAGCACTTCCACGTGGCCAACCAGTTCTTGCTTGCTCTTCAGAATAAAATACAAAGTAAGAGCAAGGTGGCTCAGTATATAGACACTGAACCTAGAGCCAGTCTCACTTGAGTTTAAATCTCACCTCAGATACTTATTAGTTGTATCACCTTGAACAAGTCACTTAATTTCTGTCTGCCTCAGTTTCCTCATCTGTGACATGGTGATAATGGTAGTATCTAACTCCCAGGGTTTTCACGAGGACAAAATGAGATGATATTTATCAAGCCTTTTGCAAATTTTAAAGTACTATATAAATACTAGGTATCATCATCATCATCATCATCATCATCATCATCATTATCTGCCTCCTCCACCTTCTGAGAGATGACACTGTCACAAAAGCAAATCATTTTGGTTTTCCGCTTTTATTTTTTTTTTCATTTTTTATCTTATTTTTACTTATTTCTTTTGTTTTTCCACTGCCTTTATTCCTAAATATATTGTCCTCATGTCCCTTACCCAAAAATTACCCAAGTAATTTTTAGGTAAGTTTTTAGAAGGAAGAGATAAAAAGCTCAGCAAAACCAATTCATATATCAACCTTGTACATGCAAGATTCGATACCCATAGTCTCCTACCTCTGCAAAAAGACTATTTTCTTCTCAGTTTTTCCCCCAGAACTGAGCTTGGTCATTCTAGTCAATTAGCAACCAGTTTCTTTTTTATTCTTTTCTTTTACATTGTTGTCACCTTTCAGCTTCTTCTATTGTTGTTTCTATATCACTCAATGTCAGCACACAAAGTCTTTCCAAGCTTCTTATAGTTTTTCACATTCAGCATTTCGTAGAGTTCAGTAATATCACTATGAATTTGTTTAGCCATTCCCGAGTTCAGGGTCATTGACTTTGCTTTGACTGACTTGAGTAGAATTGCACTTCTAAACAATGTCTTGATAATTGAAATTTCCCATGGTAGGATATGCATAGTAGGTACTCAATATGTTTGTGACGATGAGAGGAACCAGATGAAGAAAGGGGCTGATGTGTGTCTCTCTAGGAGGAAGAGGACGGTTCAGAAGATGACGGCAGCGCAAAGCCAGACTTCACAATCCCTGTAGAAACTGACTTCTGCTTTCTGGACCAACTTGAAGATAATGCCGAGCATTTTCTTTCCCCTTTGGATGATAAGTTACCTCCAAAAGGCAGTCAGGATATGGGACTCTCCAACCTTCATGCTGCATCGATGTACGTCACACTTTCTTACAGCTTTTTACTTTCATAAATTCTACTTTTTTCAGCTTTTTATTAAGATAAATTTATAGACCAAAAAGATATGACTTATTTGGGGAGTATCTGCACGGAACACTGGCCCTCCAATCAAAGACCTGGGTTCAAATATCATCTTTGATGATTATTAAATGTGTGACTTGGTGGGCCTTAGTTTCCTATTGACAGTGCTGAACAAGATGGCACCTGAGGGGCCTTACAACTCTCCATGTAAGATCCTCTGACTGGTGCAGAGTAAAGAGTGAGTTGTTTGGTTTTTTTAATTCTGATTAATACTGATATCTCTTATTAGTTCCTGCTTCAACAAGCAAACAGTGTTTATAAATGGCTTCACATGAATCTATGCTTCACAATTTGATACATCCCAAGTACAAATCCTCTCTGTTTTTGTAAAGCAAAATATGGCAAAAGTCAACTTGGGACTTCATAAGCCCTAAGGACACTTAAAATAGCAAAAGTCTGCCATGACATCTGCTTCTGCTGACCCCAAAGTTTTATTTTCATAACTACTCCAAAACTGTCCCCATTGGTTTTCATTTTTACTGCATTACTGTGGCTTTTTTGGTTTAATTTTTATTTTCTTGAATTTTTTAACCTCCTTAGACATGAGCTCTTAGAACAACTTCAAGAAATGAAAGAAGAGAAGAAAAGAATTCGAAAAAAACTTCGTGATTTTGAGGATAATTTTTTCAGACAAAACTCAAGGTACTCCATTTCCCCCCTTTTCTTTCTAATCCATCTTATACTTGTCTATAGGGAGAGAAACACCCTGGAGCTTCACTGTGTTACTTTTCTTCAATCTATCTTCCGAGCCCCGCCTCCATTCTCAGGAGTCTAACTTCTGCTATTTCACTAAATAATCCCCTGAGAAATCAGAGTTCAAGAAAGAAGCAAAATACCACACGCTCCTCTTTAGGCAGCAGAGTAACTAGATTTGAAATAACTTTTAGGAAACTGAGATGGCAAGTGGAGGGAGGAAGATGAGGCACGGTGAAGAAGAGAAAGCAGCACTATAGAAAATTGTATTTAATCGATTTTAAATCATCAAAGTTGGTCTTAGAACAAAAATGATCATGAAGTCATAGTGTCATACACTTAAAACTGGAAGGGACCTCAGAGACCAAGTAAACACACCCACTCCTTTTACAGATGAGGAAGCCAAAGCCCAGGGAGGTTAAATGATTTTCCCAAGGTCACCTGGGTACTAAGTATCAGATGGGATTTGAACCTCTGACTCCAGAGCCAATATTCTTTCCAGTGTACTGTGCTGTCTCTGACTACCCATGTGCGCTTTTGGAGTGCACATGTGAGACCCAGGTCATGCAGCTTGTAGTTCATTTGAAGAACTTATCTACAGTAAGAAGAAAGAGAACTTTGTTCTTTTTTGTTGACAGGGATTATTCCACTTCATCCTTGTGCAATTTCTATGACACATTTTAAAAGTAGATTCCATTTGGCATTCATCTGTGCTTACAGTCACATAATAAGTCAAAGGCAAAACTGCATAAGGTACCTGGATCTTTTTTTCTTTCTGGTTACATTTCAGCCATTAAAATAAATTATTCATTAACCAGGCTGAACATCATAATCACCCCAAATTTGGGGATTTAAAAAACCCACCCTGTTCTAATTAACAAAAAGTTTGGGGGAACATTTTTGAAAATATTCCCATAGAATGTTAGACATAGAAGAGACCTTGGAGGTCAGCCAACCCAGCACCCTCATTTTTACAAATGAGAAACCTGAGATCTAAAGAAATTAAGTGTATAATAGAAGATAGAAATTATGATAATAAAAATATATATTTAGTTAATTAAAATAATTGAAATTGATCTTAGCACACGTATGTTCATTTTTGCTTTTAATTTTAAAAACCATATTATATTTTTTTAAAAATATACAATTTTAAAGTTCATATTCTGTGGCATATTTTTTAAAAACATACACTTTTATGCTATCCACATCCAGAGAAAGAACTTTGGAGTCTGAATGCAGATGGAAACAGACTATTTGCTCTCATCTTCTTTTGTTGTTTTGTTTCTTCTTTCTCGTGATTCCTTCCATTAGTTCTACTTTTTCTTTGCATCATGACTAATGTGAAAATAAATAAATAAATGAATGAATGAATAAATAAATAAATAAATAAAAATAAAAAGCAGTGATCATCAAAAAAAATGAACCACATTGTTTCCGAGGGACCTATCTGTTTCTGGGAAGCACACTCACGTATACACACAAATGATGACAGATGTATTACGAAGTATTATTCAAAGAAATGAAATGGGGGAATGAGGGGAAAATATACCTTTTTAGAGTTCATATTCTGCATATAGCTTGATGTTAAAGGGAGAAAACTATCTAAGTAAAATGTAAACCAAGTATCTAAGTACAAATGTAAACAAAGTGTTCTCTTTTTAAACTAACCAAAATCTCCTTGGAGACTTGGGGTAATGTCACATGTTCCTGGTTTGCATTAATTATTGGAAAGACATGCAAAATAAAATATAATCCCTGTGTAGTAAAGAATTTTATAGGGGAAGGAAAGGAAAGAAACTAATATTATCTCTCCCTTGTATTTCCACCAGAAATGTCCAGAAGGAAGACCGCACTCCAATGGCTGAAGAATATATTGAATACAAACATGTGAAGGCAAAAATAAGGCTCTTGGAAGTGCTCATTAGCAAGAGAGACATTGATTTAAAGATCATGTAAAAAAATATATATCCCTTCAGAAAAGACTCAGTTGGATTGAGTTATTGAAGGATTCTTCACAAGGCAGTCAGCAGTTCTTTCTGAAACTAAGAAATCCGGTGGCGTGGAGTACAAAGGACAGCTCTGGTCATACAGGCTATTTAGTCTGTGCTCCAGTCATTCACTTACGTATTGTCTACTGAGAAAGAAACTTTTGTTTAGGAATGTTGTTGTATCCAAGTCAACATTTATGCACATACACATACATTTCACTGTGGTGCAAACTTTGCTAATATTAGCTATTCCATCATTAAGTTTAGATACACTAATCCTACACATGACCCACAGTTGTTCAATGTTCTGAGAAACACAAAGAACTGTTCCATTTCACAATGATAAAAATGAGCTCAGGACTTTGATTCACTTGCAGTCCGCATGCTGTGGAGTTTTGTGTTCTCTTTGGACCCAGTCCAGCTAAGTGTTTCTGTGAAATAGCCCGTTATGCTGCCTTGGCTTTCATTGTGACATTTTAAATAGCACTATGCCATCCGCCATCTTTGTGCATGGCTCGACTTTTACTTCAGCTCAGGTAGACGGCAGCTCAGACCAGAGTGACAAATACTCTCTTAATTGGTATTTTTCTTTCATATTTCTTCAACTGAGCAATAGATTTCATACCTTGGCTATGACTGGGCAGCATCCAGCAGCCCAGAGAGGATAATGGGAAGACAGCAGAGTCAGCGACAGTAGTTGTACTGGCTTCAGGTAACTGGAGTGTTACCTGAAAAGTGATTTCTCTTTCTGTGATAGGTTAAAAAAAACTAAAAGTCCTCATTTAACATTGACTCAGGCCACCCACATGACTATAGCAGCTACAGTTTATGTCTGCTATTTTCTTTTTATTAAAAAGTAAGATATACAGACATGCTGGATTCTTATTTTCAGTGACTGGGTATGGGACGAGAGATAGGCCTCTGTTCCTGTTTTCCTGAGTTAAAGGCAAACATGGGCTTATAATAGGAAGCCAGAAACTGAAGAATAAATTATTTCTTCAAAGGTGATCTCCAAGGCAGAATATTATTCACATCATTTTCAGTGAAAATATGTAGGTAGAAGAAAGTCTATCGCTGATGGGTTTTCATTATCTGGTTATTATCTTTATTGGAGAATGTTCGATGAAGCCATCTCCATTGGCCGGCTTGTTAGGACCAGGCAATTAGAAGACTTCAAATCATCCATTTCAAAAGTTGAAATTTTAAGTGTGACAATTCACCCTGTGATTCATCAACTTTTCTCATTATCCTCCATATCAACAAAGATCACGTTGCGGTTCATACTCCTCCCAAATCTAGGAAGTGTCCTTTGGAGGAACTGGAATAGGTTTCTGATGCATGAACTGGTTTTTTCTTCTGAAGAGGGCATTTAGTGGATGAACATGCCTGTCTCTTTTACAGGGCTGGCCTTTGAATTGACACAACAGTTCTTAAAGCTAATCGATCCAAAGTGTGAGGGGTGGATTTCTGATGTTAACTTTGCCAAAATACTTTCAATCAATGGCCTCTAACCTCAAAGTGGCTTTTGTCCATTTCTGTCAGTTAGTTGAAGAATTACTAAAAGATGGAGAGGAGTGTTAAGGGAGGGAAGGATCCCTTTTTTTTTTAATGAATGTAAGCGTGAGCTCTGTGCTAATAATTTCCTCATTTTAATTCCCTATACAATGACAGTGCATAGCCAAAAGGTTAATTGTGAATTTCTGAATTAAAAAGTGAGACTAGACATAGATAATGATTCTGGATGCTTTGATTCACTGTTTATATGACAGATTATTATAATTCCAAAGACTTAGAGCTTAAGAGATATAATGTATTTTAATGATAGCTTCTATTTTTGAAATTGAATGTGATTAATAATGAATTCTACATAATCAAAATTGTATTTTTAAAGAAAAAAATTTTGCCTGTCTAAAAAAAAAACCTTAAATATGAGGGAATATTGATTGGCGTATATTACTGTTTAACTTATTATACCAGAGAATATCTTTAAGAAAACCTATAGAAAAAAAAACCCTTATGTAACTAAATTATAAAACTCCAAACACCAAATGGTGAGAAAACTGATGTTACTGACGTATCTAAATGAACAACATTTCAAATTAACAAATTTTAATTTGGTTGTTAAGTAGGCCAAAAAATTAGTAAAATAAATCCTCATTTTTAGTTATGATTTCCACTTCAATTTGTAGTCATTCAAATACTTAAGCTTATAAAGCCCAACTTTTAAAAATTGTTTTTAAAATAGCTCAAAACTTATTTGTAGACATGTTACATGCTGTGCTGGTATGTAAATAAAATAGTTACGAGACAAACTTGTTTCTGTTGCAACACAGTTTGCAAAGAGTTATATCATGATACAAGAGTTATTTTATTTGACTTTGCATGGACAAGAGCAATGTTGGGTGAGTTATTTTTTCTTTTGCTCTTTTGGAAATGTGCATGTTTATTACCAAATACCAACATAATAAAAATATTCAAGATGAATAATAATTAAAAGAAAAACAAAATAAAAATAATGATTAATTATGAGAATTCAAGATGGCAGAGGCTTATATTTTTCACAAGAAGCAGATATATGCAAGATTTTAGTAAAGGGTGTTTCAAAATACAGACAGAAGAAGAGTGTTTTCTTATTTATGTAAGGAGAAAGCCTGCCATCTTTATGCACATTTGTTAGCTTCAAGTTCAAAGAACGTTTGCACAGAAGAACACTAACTCGGGCCAAACTTGAAAAACAAAATTAAAAGATCTGTTTGTTTGCCTTTGAAATATCGTGTCATGAACAGATTGGGTAAGACTGTGTCTTACTTCTGGGTGATTGCTTTAATTGACAAGGGAAAAGGGCCATCGCAGTTACTCACAGGTTAGACGTGGCCTGATCTGTAATCTCCATTTAAAGAATGGAAGTGTAGCTGTGTGACCCTGGGCAAGTCACTTAACCCCAATTGCCTAAAAAAAAAAAATAGAAGTGGTTGATGGGATTCTTTGGAAAACTGTCCAGATAGCAAATATGTGTGCACTTAAGAGGAGGTCCCATGGGTGACTGGTACAAGTTGTGCATTTTGCTTCAATATCTCAGCATTTACATAGAGTGCAATATTTGTACCTCTGAGGGATTAAAAGTTTTCTAATAAGGATGAACTTGCTGTGCTTTCTATGTGCCTTGCTAAATTGTGTTACAAAAGGAAAATTTAAATTCGTGTCTCAGGGGATTTCTGTATAATTGCATATCCAATGTGTATTTTATAAATAAAAGTATCCATAGATTACTTCAAATATATAAGAATATGAAGAAAGAATGAGAATGTTGTCATCATTGCTAGGTTTGGGTTACAGTGCAATTAGATGGAATGCCTTTAATATTGGAGGTGCCATTTTTCTTACATTAAAATCATTTATTGTATTAACTTGCTGACTTGGAAGCTAAGCTAGGTTTAAGCTGTTTAATATATCATCAACTTGAGTTAACTTCAGAACTATTTCTAAAAGTACCCCAGAAAGTTTATTTTAGTGAAATGTCAATCTGATAAAAATCTGCTTTATAGTCAAAATCATAAATTTTTTGATGACAGTGAAGCTTCCTTTTCCTTATATACTGCATCTTGGTTTTGTTGTTTGGCCTAAATAAGAAGAGTATTTTAAAGATGCTTTAAAAGAAAGAAAGAAAGAATACAAGAAACCAGGCTCCCTAACACCACGATGTCCAGCCATCAAGCTCAAAGGAAAAGGGACAAACAGACAAATAACTCTACCTTGTTGCAAAATAGTTTTATGTCAAGCCTTGAGTTTATCAGAGCATCCTTCCCTCAGTTTGTTTTTTAAAGTCCTATTTTTTTTTCTCTAGACCTCAACCTATGTGTTTTTAAGAACTAAGGTCTGGGCAAAAGCTTGCTAACGTTGTTGTTCTCTGCACACCCAAGTTTCTTCTAATGGTAGCTCTTCAAGGGATTGGTACAATAATAATGCCATACAACATGTGTGGGTCAGGATCTATGACCCTGAGTCTTGAAAGCTCCTAGGCTTCCTCACTTCCCAAGTGTTCATTATGCCTCTCTTCAGTTATCTGCATGTACTTGGAAGACATGCTTTATAAGGATAGTCAGTGGGAACTGATAGAGATCAAGCTAATCTATTTATATGAGTGTAAAATACAAGAAATACATGTATATATATGTATATACATGTGTATATGTGTGTGTATATGTATATATACATATATATGTCCATTTTCTTGAATGGAGATGCTGGTGGCAGGTATAGATACTCATGTTTCTCCCCAGAATTCAGAGGCCAATTACTCTTAGATGCACAGATTTGTAAAATTAGTTTGGCAGACTCCGTTATCTATCTGAAAACAAATTACATGATCATGCAAATAATGACCTGAACAAAGGATAAAATTTTAGGAAATATGGGCCCAGAACTGTTTGTATGACATGTAAAATTTGAAATTACCATGTGTATTTTTTAAATGTAAACTGAATGAAAGATGTGTACATTTTTGTACATGATTGTATTTTGTATAAAATTAAAGAGAATATTTTTACGTCTGTGAGCATCTGGAAATTGGATGGTATCAAGAATATTTGAGGAAATGATGTTGTTTCCTCATACCTCGAAGCCACAAATTAGGTCTGTGTAAATATTTGCATATTCCTTTGAATAGAATGTAAGCTTGTTGAAAGCAACCACTGTTTTTTATGCTGTATCTATATTCCCAGGGACTCAGAGAGTGCCTCACACAGAGCAGGTACTAAATGCTGCTACTTACTGTCATAGCTCTCTGAAGACTCTCATGAAAATTTATTTTCTTATACTTGGTTTTTAGTGATACATAGAGGAGCAGCATTATTAGAGGACAGTGTTTGTATTCCAGGTTTCCCTTCCCTTTGGACTGCTCCCCCTCCCCCTTTTAGGAGTAGAGACGAGAGGGGTAAAAATAGGACTATTAGTCTCCAAATTTTCAGAAGTTGGATTGTGTGATGGGGGAAAACATTTTAATTATGCAAGAGGGAAATTTCCTTCCTTTAACTCATGCCTTTGCTAATGCCGTGGTTCTGGTGAATCTGAGTCACCCCAAATACTACTAGTTCCAGGACAAAATGATCAAAATGATTTTTTCTACTCCTCTCTCTCTCTGTCTCTCTGTCTCTCTGTCTCTCTGTCTTTCTCTCATATTTAAAAATAGAGAGCTTTTAGAAAAATTTTATTTTATGCAGGCTACGTGGTGAATTTGTAGAATTGTCCTACGTGCATGTTGTCTCATTGTCATTATCTTTAATGAAATTATTAATTGTTTCTATGATTTGTTCTTTGACCCATTCTTTAGGATTAGATTATTTATTATCCAGTTAATTTTTAATCAATGATTCAAAGGTCTTTTACTGAATATAACTTTTATTGCATTATGGTCTGAAAAGTGTGCACTTCTACATGCATCTGAGACATGATCTTTTTTGTGAAGGTGCCATGTATAGCTAAGAAAAGGTATACTTCTACTTCCGTGATCTATCATATCTAGCTTTTCTAAAATTCTGTTCATCTCCTTAACTTCTTTCTTATTTTATGGTTAGATTTATCTAGGTCTGGTAAGAGTAATTGAGGTCCCCTACTATTACAGTTTACTGGCTATTTCCTTTTGTGATTCATTTAACTTTTGCTTTAAGAATTTGGATACTATGCCTTTTGGTGCATGCATGTATGTTCAGTATTATTATTCGTTGTCTCTGGTACCTTTTAGCAAAATGTAGTTTCACTATCTATTTTAATTAGGTCCATTTTTGCTTTTGTCTGAAATCATGATTGCTACTCATCCCTTTTTTTATATCAGTTGAAGCATAATAGATTCTGCTCTGGATGCTTATTTTAACTCTGTGCTTCTGTTTCAAATGTGTTTCTTGTAAAGAACATATTGCTGGATTTTGATTTCTAATCCATTCTGCTCTCTTCTTACATTTTATGGGTGAGTTCATTCCATTCACATTTATAGTTATGATTATTATTTCTCTCCATCCTATTCTCTCACCCCTGGAGAGCATTCCAACATGTAGGAACTGACATGAGACTGTGCACCACAGAAAGAAAAGGTTCCAGTCCCATAAAGTGGGGCCCTAATCTTGTGCAGTATTTATAAACGGGCCATTTGGAAGTTCTATCATTCACTACCCAATTCTAGGTCAGAGATTTGGGGCAGACTGAGGAGGAAGCCTTCACCTAAGGGAGGTTATTCCATAGAGAGGAGTAGTCATGGACCCTAGGCAGTTTACTGAGCAAGAAGCAAGTTTAGAAGAGCAGCTGTGCGTATCTGACTACAAGAGTGAAGCAGGGTCTCAGTTCCAGTCTCCAGAGCAGTTGTGAAGTTTGCAGCAGAATACCCAGGGCACAAAACTCAGGCAAAAAGGGAATCTACAATTCTATCACTCTGAACCTGCAGAGCTTTCCAGTTGGCTGATAGAGGCTCAGTCCAGCGTTAATCTACTGTAACTTCCAGCCAGAGGGCAATCCAACAGGAAGTAAGACCCAAATCCGGGTCAGAAAATTACAGATCTCAGAAGAGGAGTCAACCAAGAGACTTCATCCTACATCATATCACAGAGGGAGCACTGAAGGCTTGTAAGTTCTCAGCCTGAGCTGTCTCTGAAGTCCTGGAAATAATGCAATACTCAATATGCCCAAGAAAGCAGCTGCAGTACAAAAAGATCAGTCAGAAAAAGACAAAAACTTGAGTCAGAACTTGTCTCCAGAGGTGTGCAGAGTCCAAAGTTGGAAGTATGGAACCAAAGCAACCCCCCCCCAAAAAAGGAAAGAAAAAATAATTCTTCCATAAAGAGATATTATAGTACCAGACACACAATACACACTCAGAAGAAGAAACTTACTCCAAAACATCAGTAAGAAAAGCTTCAAAGAAAAACATAAGGAGGGGGGTAGGGAGAAGTCAAAATGGCAAAGGACATGCTAAAAGCCAGCTGAACCCTCCCAACATTCCCCTCTAAACAACTTTAAAATAAAGCCTCAAATCAAATTCTGGAGTGGCAGAGCCAACAAAAGGTCAGGGTGAGACATTTCTCCAGCCAAAGACAACTTAGGACATTGACAAGAGAAGTCTGTGACATGGGGGTGGAGACCTGTCCAGAGCACAAGCATGTGGCAGCAGCAGCAGTAGCAACAGCAGTTTTGGGAGCTCTCAACCCAGAGATAGTAAGGGGATCATAAGACTGGTCAGAAAGAGATTACAGACACTGTTTGCTGGCACTGGGTACAACTGGCATGATTGTTAACTCTATTACCCATAAGCAGTTCTGGGTAACAGTTCCAGGGCAGAGAGTAGCACTTATGATCAGTCACAAGGGAGAAAGGGTCCTAGTTGCAGTTCCAAGGAAAGAAGGAGCAATAACACCTGTGGGTGCAAGAAAGCGCAGACTATGGTCACAGTTCCAGGGCCAATAGGAGCCCTAGCATTTGTGGCCATGGGGGAGCAGAGACCCTTTCTGGATAAAAACCAGAACACTGAGTAGGAGAGCATTGACCACACTTCTCCCTGCATCACACAATCTTGGAAGAACCAAAAACTTGCAGACCTTCAGAAGTAGCTCTGGTAACAGCAGCATGAAAAAGCCTGAGGCTTGGGACAGTGCCTTCCCACACCCAGGTGGGCAGAGTCCAACTTTAACATAAAGTTCACAGTCAAGAAATAGACTGGAAAAATGAGCCAAAGGAAAAAAAAAAGAACTTGACAATTGAAAAACCTACTGGGAAGGGAAGACCAACATACAAACTCAGAGAAGATAACAACATAACAACTACTACAAGCAAAGCCTCAAAGAAAAATATTAATTGGACCCAAGTCCAAGAAGAATTCCTGGAAGAGTTGAAGAAAGAGATAAGAGTGGTAGAGAAGAAAATTGGGAAAAGAAATGAGAATGATGCAAGAAAAGTAAGAGAAGAGAATTAACAGCTTGGTAACAGAGGCACAAAAAAATTCTGAAGAAAAT